ACATTTTGATATAGCTTTAAAAATAAGCTATTAGGTCTGTGCACAGCGTCTCATGCCTGTAATCCTAGCACTTGAGAGGCCAAGCCAGCAGGATGACTTGAGGCCAGGAGTTCGAGATCAGCCTGAGCAACATAGCAAGACCCCATCTCTCTCTCTCTCAAGAAAAAAAAAAAAAAGAAAAAAAATATATGCATGGTAGTGCACGCCTATAATCCCAGCTACTCAGGAGGCTGAGTTGGGAGGATCGCTTGAGACCAGAAGTTCAAGACCAGCCTAAACAACACAGTGAGATCCCATCTCTACAAAAAATAAGCCATTAGACTCTAGGCTTATTATTATTGCCAGGTATCCTCACTGTTACTCCTGGCATGGAAGATATAGTAGGAGTCATAGATGGCTGTAGGTCAGGTGCTGTCTCACAAGTAAACCACATATCGCCAGGCATCACATCTATGCTCTCACTCTAGTATATCTATATTGTAACCCCTTCTATGTACCAAGACAGGAGGATCACTCCAAGCCAGAAGCTGAAGACCAGCCTGAGCTACATATTGAAACCCTGACTCTCCAAAAATAATTAGCTGAGTGTGGTGGCACGTGCTTGTAGTACCAGCTATTTGGGAGGCTGAGGCAGAAGAATCACCTGAGCCTAGGAGGTAGAGGCTGCAGTGAGCTATGATCGCACCACTGCACTCCAGCCTGGACGACGGAGTGAGATCCTGTCACTAAAAAAAATAAAAAATAAAAATATTTTTAAAAAGCTCTTGAGAAGACTCCAAGTACAGTTCCTGGCATGTAGTGGGTGCACAGTTAATACTTCTTCTTGGGGCCACAGGATTGGGCATCAGATTTACATTTCACCGAAACTTTCTTTACCATCTGTATCTATTTCCTTTTCAAAAATGTAAATAAAACCGATACAAATGAACAAATGTCAGCTCTGTTTTATCCTTCACAGAATAAGCCAAATGAGACTTGGAAGTGACTTCAGAGATTGTGAGGAAATGGAAGCTTAGAGGTTGTATGGTTTGCCCAAGTTCCCTTGACCAGCTCTGGGACCTTGTTTTTTTCTTCAGTTGAGGTGAAATTCACATAACATAGAATTTACTTTTTTTTTTTTTGAGACAGAGTCTCTCTGTGTCACCTAGGCTGGAGCGCAGTGGCACAATCTTGGCTAACCGCAACCTCTGCCTCCCAGGTTCAAGTGATTCTCCTGCCTCAGCCTCCCAAGTAGCTGGGCATGTGCTTCCAAGCCCAGCTAATTTTTTGTATTTTTTAGTAGAAATGGGGTTTCATCATGTTGGCCAGGCTGGTCTTGAACTCCTGGCCTCAGGTAGTCCACCTGCCTCAGTGTCCCAAAGTGCTGAGATTACAGGCATGAGTCACGGCACCTGGCCACTTTTTTTTTTTTTTTTTTTTTTGAGACAAGAGTCTCGCTCTGTCACCCAGGTGGAGTGCGGTGGTGCGATCTCCGCTCACTACAACCTCTGCCTCCCAGGTTCAAGCAATTCTCCTGCCTCATCCTCCTGAGTAGCTGGGATTACAGGTGCCAGCCACCATGCCCAGCTAATTTTTGTATTTTGGGTAGAGATGGGGTTTAACCATGTTGGCCAGGCTAGTCTCGAACTGTTGACCTCATGTGATCCGCCCACCTCGGCCTCCCAAAGTGCGGGGATTACGGGCGTAAGCCACTGTGCCCGGCCTGAATTTACTGTTTTTAAGTGAGCAATTTGGTTGTATTTAGTAAATTCACAATGCTGTACAACCACCACCTGTATCTGGTTCCAAAACATTTTCATCACCCCAAAAAGGCACCCCACCCAATAGCAGTCACTCCCCATTGGTCCCTTCTCAGGGCCCCCAGCAATTGACCTTCTCTATATATAGATTTGCCTGTTCTGGACATTTCCTGTAAGTGAAATCATACAGTCCTTCTCCTTTTGTGTCTAGCTTCTTTCACTCAGCATCATGTTTTCGAGGTTCACCCACATCGCAACATACGTCAGCACTTCCTTCCTTTTTATGGCCAAATAATATTCCATTGCATGGATATGTCACATTTTGTCTGTCCATTCATCTATTGATGGACATTTGGGTTGATTCCACCTTTGAGCTGTCATGAATAGTGCTGCTGTGAAGGTTCGTGTACAAGTTTTTGTTGGGAGTCCCTGTTTTCAATTCTTTCGAGTCTGTGATCCTGGTCTTTGATTCCCTCATTACACTGCCTGCCAAATATACAGCCAAATTTTATGCAACACTGTTGGAAGGACACTGGTGGGAGGGACTGTCCTGTTACTTCTCGGAGAAATAGCATCTTAGTTCAATGTGTGTCCCACAAGGTGGTGCCCACACTTAGGAAGCTTCTCCGGGCTGAAGGAAAAGCTCTCTGTGCCCTCTGAGCAGCCAGAAGTGGAGGCTCTACCCAGAAGCAGTGGCTTTACACCTAACACTCCTGTGATTAACGCATATCCAAATACCCAGAGAGATGAGGTGGTTCATCACCTGAGAGCTTTGTTTTTACTTCAGACAGCTGCTTAAGGTTCTAATGTCACTAAAAGTGCAAGGAGATTAATGTGTCTAGGATGTCAAAATCAACATGATAGACATTTCTTCATAGCTAATATTTCCTTTCTTATCCATTGGTTAAAAGAGCCAATTCTCTCACAGTTACAGTGAGTACAGCAGTCAAAAAATATTATATTTCTCTACTTTTTCCAATTCACCCCTACCAAGGGTCTTTGCAGTATTCTTTTCTTATATTTTGTGGTTTTTTCAGAGATGGGGTCTCACTCTGGGTTGCAGTGAAGTGGCACGATCACAGCTCACTGCAGCCTCGACCTCCTGGGCTCAAGTGATCCTCCTACCTCAGCCTCCAGAGTAGCTGGGACCACAGGCACACATCACCACACCCGGCTAATTTTTGTAATTTTGGAGAGATGCGGTTTCACCATATTAGCCAGGCTGATCTTGAACTCGTGGGCTGAAGCAAATCACCCACCTCAGCTTCCCAAAGTGCTGGGATTACAGGCATGAGCCACAGTGCCTGACCTAAAATATTCTTAAATGATGCACTCTCCATACACAGAAAATCTTCCTAGAAGTAATCTCATCCTATATAATGAGATGAGGGTTAAGCTTGTGATAAAGTTAGGTATAAGGAGGGTATCACCCTAAATCCTGAGTAAAGAGGAGTTTGCTGTAGTTTGGGGAGTATATTGAAAATACATAGTCAGCCGGGAACGGTGGCTCACGCTTGTAATCCCAGTACTCTGGGAGGCAGAGGTGGGTGAATTACCTGAGGTCAGGCCTTCAACACCAGCCTAGCCAACATGGCAAAACCCCGTCTCTACTAAAAATACAAAAATTAGCCGGGCATGGTGGTGCATACCTATAATCCCAGCTACTCAAGAGGCTGAGGCAGGAGAATTGCTCCAACCTAAGAGGCAGAGGTTGCAGTGAGCCAAGATCATGTCACTGCACTCCAGCCTGGGCGACAGACTGAGACACAGTCTCAAAAAAAAAAAAAAAACAAAACATTGTCAAGACTGTCAAATCACAGAGTGGTGTTTTACATGATGGTAGAGACTGCCGATTGCCCTCTTGAACCCAGCTTCCATTTCTTCTTTTTCTTAATTTATTTATATTTTGAGACAGAGTTTCACTCTTGTTGCCCAGGCTGGAGTGTAATGGAGCAATCCTGACTCACTGCAGCCTCCACCTCCCAGTTTCAAGCGATTCTCCTGCCTCAGCCTCCCGAGTAGCTGGGATTACAGGCATGCGCCACCGTGCCTGGCTAGTTTTTTTTTTTTTTTTTTTTTTTTGTATTTTCAGTAGAGATGGGGTTTCTCCCTGTTGGTCAGGTCGGTCTGGAACTCCCAACCTCAGGTGACCCGCCCGCCTTGGCCTCCCAAAGTGCTGGAATTATAGGTGTGAGCCACTGTGTCTGGCCTCTGACAGGTATCTTGACTACAGGAAGATAGTGTTCTGGGTGGGAGACTCAAGAGGTCTGATTACTGAAGATACAGATCTCACTTAAACTGAGTAAACTGACATCTGGTTGCCAAATCAATCTATTATGAAATTGGCCAATGTCACTTTTATTTGGCCTGATCAAGTTTTTACTAAGAACTGAACTGGGCACAGTGGCTCACGCCTGTAATCCCAACACCTTAGAAGGCTGAGGCAGGAGGATCAATTGAGTCCAGGAGTTTGAAAACAGCCTGGGCAACATAACAAAACCCCATCTCCACAAAAAATACAAACATTAGCCCAGGAAGCTGAGGCAGGAGGATCTCTTAAGTCCAGGAGGTTGAGGCAGCAGTGAGCTATGATTGTGCCACTGCACTCCAGCATGGAAGACAGAGCAAGACCCTGTTTCCAAAAAAAAAAAAAATTGAGAACACTGGACATTCAGTGTCTCTTTTCTGGCTTACCTCTCCCCATCTTGGGCATCATGTTTAGGTTTTGTCTCTAGAGCACATCTCAGAGCCTGCTACGGGTAAACAGGCCAGAAGTTAAATGCATGAAACATTCAAGCACATTCTTATTGGTGTAATTAAAATAAAAAACTAAATGCATGAAACAGAAGCTGTTTACCCACAGCGGCGGAGGAGCAGAAATCATACCCAGTGTGCCATATCATTACTGCCTGCCAGTGTTTCCTTAGGCTATTTTATTATTTTTGTTGAGATGGAGTCTCACTCTGACTCCCAGTCTCGAGTGCAGTGGCACGATCTCTACTCACTGCAACCTCCATCTCCCAGGTTCAAGCAGTTTTCCTGCCTCAGCCTCCCAAGTAGCTTATAAGTGCCAGCCACCATGCCTGGCTACTTTTTGTATTTTTAGCAGAGACAGGGTTTCACTATGTTGGCCAGGATGGTCTCAAACTCCTGACCTTGAGTGATCCACCTGCCTCAGCTTCCCAAAGTGCTGGGATTACAGGGGTGAGCCACCACGCCCCGCCTTCCTTTGGTTATTGAGATGGACAAAGAGTTACCTAGTAAGTTGAGAGCAGCTTGTTTTTAATGAATCTTAGCCCAGAATACAAAGCAGGGTGTAGCAGTTGCCTTGATGCTGATATAATTGTAAACAATGGCTTTTTCTTCCCCTATAAACTCAAGTTACAGGAGGCGTTTCAGAGAGAGGATAAGACATTTGAATCTATTTTTTAAAAATGCACCCTGAAAGCTAGCAGTATTGTTGTCATTTAAAAGGTTTCTCATAGACTCTTACCCTCAGCCAACCCACCATGTTTATCAATTCAAATTCTAGAACTTTCTTGACCCAAGAGATTTTGTAGGAAGAATTTCTCTTTTCAGATATTCAGCACGCAAGGATCATTTTTCTTGGTTTTGTCGCTGATCTTGCTGAACTTTCCATCAATGGCTGAGGGAGAAAGCCCACATGGTTCTTATGAGTTCTTCTGAGGCACTTTGACTGTGATCTGTAAGGGGGACAGAGAACTGTTAGATCTTCCTGTTTCCCTGTGATCTGTAGGCATTCTCAGCTAGTTGCTGACTGAGTGTGAGCAGAAAGGGCTTTTCTTTTTTTTCCCCCAGGCTGGAGTGTAGGAGTGCAATTACAGCTCACTACAGCCTTGACCTCCTGGCTCAAGCAATCCTCCCACCTCAGCCTCCCAAGTAGCTAGAACTACAGGCATGCACCATAACACTCGGCTAACTTTTTGTATTTTTATTAGAGGTGGGGTCTCACTATGTTGCCCAGGCTTGTCTTGAACTCCTGGGCTCAAGTGTTCCGCCTGTCTGGGCCTCCCAAAGTGCTGAGATTACAGGCGTGAGCCACCACACGTGGCCTGTAACTACGATTTTGATGAACAGTTATAGGCCAATGATGTCAGAATTTCTATTTCAAATCTGGGTCTTGCCCCTGGAGCTCCAAGCCCATCTCCCTACATGTGTTCTCCACATCACCTCTTGGGTTTGGACAGGTACCTCAAACACAACCCTAAAGAGAACCACAGTACTTCAGTGTTCTCTATCATAGGACTGGCGTCACCACTCAACCCCTCCTTGGAAACCTGAGCGCCATCTTTGATTCCTAGTTTTGCTTTTCCTCTCCATATCCAGAGTCACCAATCCTACTCCTGGCTTCCCGTCACATATACCCTCTTTTCTTTTTTCTTTTTTTTTTTTTTTGAGACGCGAGTCTTGCTCTGTCGCCCAGGCTGGGAGCGCAGTGGCCGGATCTCAGCTCACTGCAAGCTCCGCCTCCCGGGTTTACGCCATTCTCCTGCCCTAGCCTCCAACTAGCTGGAACTACAGGCGCCCGCCACCTTGCCCGGCTAGTTTTTTGTATTTTTTTAGTAGAGACGGGGTTCACCGGGTTAGCCAGGACGGTCTCGATCTCCTGACTCGTGGATCGCTCCGGCCTCCCAGAGTGCTGGGATTGCAGCTTGAGCCACCACGCCCGGCCACATATACCCTCTTTTCTCCACCTGCACTGCACCACTCCAATCCAGGACCACATCATCTTTTTCCTTGGAGCAGTCTCCTGACAGCTCCCTCATCCGCCCTCTTACCAGATGGTCCATTCTCCCTATGGCAAACAGAGTGAGTTTCTTACATATTTTTTTTTTTTTTTTTGAGATGGAGTCTCGCTCTGTTGCCAGGCGGAGTGCAGTGGCACGATCTCAGCTCACTGCAACCTCCGCCTCCCAGGTTCAAGCAATTCTCCTGTCAGCCTCGAGTAGGTGGGACTACAGGCACCTGCAACCAACTTGGCTAATTTTGTATTTTTAGTAAGACGGGGTTTCATCTTGTTGGTCAGCTGGTCTCGAACCCTGACTCAGGGCAATTTCACTGCCTCGCGTCAAAGTGCCTGGGTTACAGGCGTGACACCGCATGGTCGCTTCTAAATTTTTTTTTTTTTTTCGAGATGGCGAGTCTGTGTCACAGAGGCTGGAGTGCAGTGGCGCGATCCTTGGCTCACTGCAAAGCATCGGAACACCGCATCCCGGGTTTACGCCATTTCTCGGCTGCCTCAGAACTCTGAGTTCCAAGGCTGGGACACAGGCGCCCGCCACCTCGCCCGGCTAGTTTTTTGTATTTTTTTATGTAGAGACGGGGTTTCACCATGTTACCAGGATGGTCTCGATCTCCTGACCTCGTGATCCACCCGCCTCGGCCTCCCAAAGTGCTGGGATTACAGGCTTGAGCCACCGCGCCCGGCCTTTCTTAAATTTTTAAACAACTTTCTTGAGATATGATTTATGTACAATCAAGTGTAATTGCTTTTAGAATATTTTAAGTTGTGCAATCATCATCATACTTCAATTTTAGAACATCTGTATCATCTCCAAAAGCAATCTTGCACCCATGAACAGCCACTCCCCATTCCCCATGCCCGGGACAACCAGTAATAAGTTTCTGTCTCTATAGATTAAGCAGAGCAATCTTTTAAAAATACAAATTGAGCAGGCCAGGCACAGTGATTCACACCTGTAAATCCCAGAACTTTGGGAGGCCGAGGCAGGTAGATCACTTGAGGTCAGGAGTTCAAGATCAGCCTGGCCAACATGGTGAAACCCCATCTCTACAAATACAAAAAATCAGCCAGATGTGGTGGCAGGTGCCTGTAATCCCAGCTACTCAAGTGCTGAGGCATGAGAATCCCTTGAGCCCGGGAGGCGGAGGTTGCAGTGAGCCAAGATCATGCCACTGCACTCCAGCCTGGGCAACAGAGCGAGACTCTGTCTCAGAAAAAAAAAAAAAAAAATTGAGCCACGTAATTCTTCTACTAAAAATGCTCCCATAGCTGAGATCAAACTCCATTATCAAAGACATCAAACCCCACATCATGGCCAACAAGGGCCTATGTATTCTGGCCCTGCTCTCTCCCCACTAACCACTACATCTTCCACCACCAGCAACTTTCCTGCAGTTCCTGGAAGAGCCGTATTTCTCACCATCGCAGCTTTTCCAGAAGTCATGCTCTTTGTCTAGAACGTTCTTCTCTTCCTCCCTTCACCAAATCAACTTCCACTCATCCTTCAGGTATATCAGCTTAGATACCACCCTGTCATGTGGCCATCCTGGACGTCGCCTCCTTAACACTAGTCATGTGCCAAGATTTAAGAGTCTCCATCAACTGAAGTTGGACCTTTTATCCAATGCCATAACTCAAAGCCCAGCACAGGCTGTCCACTCACATGGCCATCTCCTGCTGCTGTGGGCTCTGCTCGGGCAGTGGATGAAGTGTACATGCTGGAAAGTGGGTAGGGCATACAGGAAACAAGACTGACTGTGAGCTGGTCTTTGTTATAGCTTTATGGTGGGGACACAGGGGCTCATTCTACTGTTTTGTTTGTTTGTTTGTTTTTTGAGACAGAGTCTTGCTCTGTTGCCTAGGCTGGAGTATAGTGGCGTGATCTCAGCTCACTGCAACCTCTGCCTCCCAGGTTCAGACAACTCTTGTCTCAGCCTCCTAAGTAGCTGGGACCACAGAAGCCTGTCACCAGTCTGGCCAATTTTTGCATTTTTAGTACCGACGGGGTTTCACCATGTTGACCAGGCTGGTCTTGAACTCCTGACCTCAAGTGATCCGCCCACCTCGGCATCCCAAAATGCTTGGGATTACAGGCATAAGCCACTGTGCCTGGTCTCATTCTACCTTTATACCTATTCTTTGCATAGATTGGAAAGTTTCCACATTAAACAAGCAAACACGTTTAGTTGATTCCAGTGAGCTATTCAGAAACACAGGGTGTGTCCTCGGCCTCTCCAGTCTCAGGCTTGGCACTGTAGCCCTGAATGAGTCCTGTTTGCCTTTTCTCACCTGCTCCACAGCTGGCAGGCTTGCCTTGAGCCTCCTCTTTTCCAATCCTGGAAAGGCCAGCTCAACCCATTTACCTCTTCCTTAAACATCACTTGTGCTTATGTTTTCTGGTTAAACTATAGTTAGTATTCACGGTAGGCAGAAACTCACTTTCACTTTAGTGTATTTCCCTGTTTTTTTTTTTTTAGACAGAGTCTTGCTCTGTCACCCAGGCTGGAGTGCAGTGGCATGATCTTGGCTCACTGCAAGCTCCACCCCCCAGGTTCACGCCATTCTCCCGCCTCAGCCTCCAGAGTAGGTGGGACTACAGGCTCCCACCACCACACCCGGCTAATTTTGTTTTTGTGTTTTTAATAGAGACGAGGTTTCACCATGTTAGCCAGGATGGTCTCAATCTCCTGACCTCGTGATCTGCCCGCCTCAGCCTCCCAAAGTACTGGGATTACAGGCGTGAGCCACTGCGCCCGGCCTGTTTTGTTTTTTTTGAGTCTCCCTCTGTCGCCAGGCTGGAGTGCAGTGGTGCGATCTTGGCTCACTGCAACCTCCGCCTCCCGGGTTCAAGCGATTCTCCTGCCTCAGCCTCCCAAGTAGCTGGGACTATAGGTGCGCACCACCATGCCCAGCTAATTTTTGTATTTTTAGTAGAGACAGGGTTTCACCATGTTGGCCAGGATGGTCTCGATCTCTTGACCTCGTGATCCACCCACCTCGGCCTTCCAAAGTGCTTGGATTATAGGTGTAAGCCACTGCGCCTGGCCATTTTGTTTTTAATAAGATGGTGTCTCGCTACATTGCCAAATTAGTCTCTTATGAAATTGGCAAACACGACTCTTTAATTTGGCCTGTCCAAGTTTTTCGACTTACAAAACTGAGAGCCAGGCTGGGTGTGGTAGCTCACGCCTATAATCCCAGCACTTTGGGACCAAGGCAGGAGAATCACTTGAGCCCAGGAGATTGAGACCAGCCTGGGTAACATAGTGAGACCCCATCTCTACAAGAAATAAAAAAATTAGTCGGGAATGGTGATGCGCACCTGTAGTCCCAGCTACTTGGGAGACTGAGATGCGAGGATCACTTCAGCTCAGGAGGTGGAGGCTGCAGTGAGCTGTGATGGCACCAGTGCACTCCAGCCTGGTGATTTCAATCCTGGAAAGCCTTCTCAACCCATTTTCCAGGCTGGCTTCAAACTTGTGGCTCAAGCGATCCTCCCACCTCGGCCTCCCAAGTAGCTGGAACTAAAGGCATGCACCACCACACTCCACTTTTTCCTGTCTTTTTTTATATTTATAAGTAAATGTATCTGAGTATCTATGTACATATATTCCAAAAATTCGCTTATATTGAATATATATTAGTTTGTATATTGTTTTTACTTTAAAGGCTAAGCATTTTCCATATCAAATATTCTACAAAAACATCTGTAACAGATACCTGTTACTCCTTGAACGGGGTGTTCCATAATTTATTGGGCATTAAGGTTACATCTGATTTTCCCTTCTTAGAGATAAAGCAGTGAAGAACATTTATGGAAGGAACGCTTTCTTTTATTTCTGATGAGTCCTTCAGGCTATATTCCAATCATTGAAGTTGCAAATCAAAGGAGATGGGTATGGTTATGGGCCTTGATATCTCATGCCTAATAGCTTATTTTTTTATTATTTATTTTAAAATATTTTTATTACTGTGGGAATTGCTCCATTCCAACCTAATAGCTCTCTTTTTTTTTTTTTTTTTTTGAGATGGGGTCTTGCTCTATTACCCAGGCTGGAGTGCAATGGCACAATCTTGGCTTACTGCAACCTCCGCCTCCCGGGTTCAAATGATTCTCCTGCCTCAGCCTCCCGAGTAGCTGGGATTACAGGCGCACACCACCACGTCTGGCTAATTTTTGTATTTTTAGTAGAGACAAGGTTTCACCATGTTGGTCAGGCTGGTCTTGAACTCCTGACCTCGTGATCCACCCACACTGGCCTCCCAAAGTGCTGGGATTACAGGTGTGAGCCATGGCGCCTGGCCAGCTGATTCTTACTATAAGCTTTTCCTCTTGGCTCCACCCCCTGAGGTCTCTCCCTCTTCTCAGGCTCTACAGGCCTTGGCATATAACGAAGCCCAGCAAATGACCGCATAGGGCTGGCTGGGGCACGTCCCTCGGTATTTCTCATGGGACAGAGCAGAGGCTGGGTCTTTACCCTCTCTTGTCACTTCTCAGGCTTAAAATGGGAAATTAGTAGGAAACGCTGATGGCCTCAAGCATGAGGGAAAGGCCAAAAGGTGGCCTGCCCAGCAGACCCTAAACCCCTGGCAGGCCCCAAGATTCCAACAGACCCCGATCCTCTAGCAGGCTCCGAGCCACCAGCAGACCCTGAACCCCCAACAGGCCCTGAGCCCCCAGCAGGTCCCACACTCACAGTTTTCACTTCAGTGTATGCCTGCAGGCCGTACTCGCCCAGCTCCCGGCCACTGCCCGACATCTTGTAGCCGCCAAAGGGTGACTGGGCTCCAAACACATCATAGCAGTTGACCCTGTAATTTGAAATGAGATTGCAGAAGTCACTCTTGGGGGTTATGGGTTACACTCCCAGGATCCCCTGTATTGCCCCAAAGTCTGTATTTTATTTTTAACTTAAAAAAAAATTTTTTTTTTGAAATGTAATCTTTCTCTGTTACCCAGGCTGGAGTTGCCATGGCATGATCTCGGCTCGTTGCAACCTCCACATCTGGGGTTCAAGAGATTCTCCTGCCTCAGCTTTCCGAGCAGCTGGACTACAGGCATGCGCAAACACGCCTGGAAATAACTTTTTTTTTTAAGAGACAGGGTCTCACTATGTTATCCAGGCTGTTCTCCAACTCCTGGCTTCCAGTGATCCTCCTGCCTCAGCCTCCCAAGTAGGTAAGACTACAGGAATGTGCTACCATGGCTGGCTAATTTTTTTATCTTTTATTTTTTGTAGCGATGGGGGGGGTCTATGTTGCCCAGGCTGGTCTCGAACTCCTGGCCTCAAGTAATTCTCCTGCCTCAGGCTCCCAAAGCACTGGGATTACTGGTGTGAGCCACTGCACCTGCGATGGTTTCTTTTCTCTTTTTTTTTTTTTTGCCATTAAAAAAATTATTAAATTTTATTTGAATTTAAAATTCACATTTTTTATTATGTATTTATTTATTTATTTTTATTATTATATTTTGTTGAGTGGATCTCGCTCTGTCACCTAGACTGAGTGCAGTGTGTGAGCTCGGCTCCTGCACCTCGCCGCTCCCTAGTTCAAGCAAAATCTCCTGCCTCGGCTCCTGAGTAGCGGGATTAAACAGGTGCATGCCACCATGCTCAGTTAATTTTTCTAATTTCTCAGTAGAGACAGGGTTTCACCATGTTGGTCAGGCTGGTCTGAACTCTTGATCTTCGTGATCTGCCCGGCCTTGGCCTCCCAAAATGCTGGGATTACAGGTGTGAGCCACCATGCCTGGGGCCTTTCTATTTTTTTTTTTTTTCCTTTTTTTTGAGATGGAGCTCGCCTGTCGCCCAAGGGCTGGAGTGCAGTGGCTGGATCTTCAGCTCACTGCAAGCTCCACCTCCCGGGTTCACGCCATTCTCCTGCCTCAGCCTCCTGAGTAGCTGGGATTACAGGCGCGCACCACCATGCCCCGCTAATTTGTGTATTTTTAGTAGAAACGGGGTTTCACCATGTTGGTCAGGCTGGTCTTGAACTCCTGACATCATGATCCACCCACCTTGGCCTCCCAAAGCGCTGGGATTAAGGGTGTGAGCCACTGCACCCAGGCCTAATTTTTGTATTTTTAGTAGAGACGGGATTTCACCATGTTGGCCAAGATGGTCTCAATCTCCTGACCTTGTGATCTGTCCACCTCAGCCTCCCAAAGTGCTGGGATTACAGGGGTGAGCCACTACACCCAGCCTAAAATTCACCATTTTAAAGTGTACAATCACTGGTTGATAGCATATTCACAGTGTTGTGCGACCATCACCACTGTCTAATTGCAGAACTTTTTTTTTTTTTTTTTGAGACGGAGTCTCGCGCT